TTAATTGCCCTAGCTATTGGCAATCTGGTCAGTAAAACTTTAAGTCCTATATCAAAAGTTTGGTCTGAACCTGAAGAAATTGACAAAGCTGCATATGAATTTGAACAAGTATAATATAATATTAACATTTTAATATTCTATTACTCTAAAAATGTTTATAATACAATTTGGTTGATATTTTTAGACTCCTGAACTATTAAAAACTGCTGAAAGTGTGTGTGGTCCATATGTTTGGAAAATTTATGACTTACTTGTTATGCCACCTTCATTTCCTTTTGGTGGTATGGAAAATCCATGTTTAACTTTTGTCACTCCCACATTACTGGTGAGTTAGATAATATAAAATATAACTATAACCATTTAATGTATTTATTGTTTACTGATATAGGCTGGTGATAGAAGTCTCGTAAATGTTGTGGCTCATGAAATAGCACATAGTTGGACTGGAAACTTGGTGACGAATCGTAATTTTGAACATTTTTGGATGAATGAAGGATTTACAGTTTATGTAGAACGCAGAATAGATGGATTGTTGAATGGCGAGAGTTCTAGAGAATTTGCTGCACTAGGTGGTCTTGAAGATCTCAAACAATCTGTAAATATTTACTAATACTTCTATGATTAACTTTACTAAAAAAATCATAATAACAATCACAATAAGTATTGCAGGTTGATAATTTAGGTGCGCAAAATCCGTTAACTAAGTTAGTAGTTGATTTAAGTGGTATTGATCCAGATGATGCATTTTCTACTTGTCCTTATGAAAAAGGTCATACATTCTTGTTCTATTTAGAAAAACTATTAGGAGCTGGTAAGGCCGTTTGATCAAGAACTAACTGCACAGGTTTCTCATTATTTAAAAATTATTTTACAGCTAAATTCCAAATATTTTTCAAATCTTATATTGATAAATTCAAGTATAAGTCTGTAGGTACAGAAGATTTTAAATCATATTTGTTATCCTATTTCCAAGAAGACAGTGCCACCTCAAAAATTGATTGGGATTTATGGCTGTATACTTGTGGCATGCCTCCAATAATACCTCCGTAATTATTTAGCTTAATATCTTAGGAAAATGTGTTAAAACTAAATATTGATATTATGTTTAAAGGTATGATACAAGTAATCAAGATGCATGCATCTCTCTGTTTAACCGCTGGGAACAGTGGAATGGTTCTGGTGATAGTTTTAAGAAGTCTGACTTGGATAAATTTCAAACAGCACAAATTATACAATTCTTAGCATTAGTTTTGAAATCAAATAACTTCAGTTTGTTAAAAATAAAGGCTATGCAAGAAGCTTATGATTTCAACAATAATGGAAACCGTGAAATTCTTTTAAGGTAAGAACTTAAGTAAAATATTTATTATTGTCAATTTTATAAAACGTGTAAGCATCATAATACGTCTGTATGTTTATACCAGGTGGCTTAGGTCATGTGTGAAATTCAAGTGGATTGAACAATTAGAACTGGTATTTAAATTTATTAATACTACTGGAAGAATGAAATATGTTCGTCCTTTATATAGGTATCAGTTTTCAAATTCCATTTTAATATTACCAGTTTAAGAAAATGTATTAATTTTGTTTACTAATTATTATTTTACTATTGTTTTTTTCAGGGATCTTTACTCTTGGGAAGAAGTACGTACAAAAACAATAGAAAATTTTGAAAATAATAAAATGGGTATGATGTATGTTTGCCGTCACACTGTGGCTAAAGATCTACAATTAAGAGATTAATATCAATAATATCTGTGTTAAATTATTTTTTTATCATGATATTATTTAAATCAAAATGTAATAATAACAGACATATTTTATTCATTAAAAAAAACTAATAAAATCTTATTTTTATGGAATATATATTTTAATACTTATAACACCAATGAAATTAGATTATTTTTACATTGATAAATAATTTGCCACCATTTTCCAAAATAAAAATCTGAATTCTATAAATATACAAATTAATCCTTGTACTACTCCATACGTATTATAACGCTCTAAACATTTATACCATTCACTGCTTCTGACATTCTATTATGTTCCTGTATTTTATAATATCATCATTTGCTGGTAACTGTACAATTTTAGGAAACCCTGGATTGCATTATTTTAAATTTAAATGATGAAATCATAGTATAGATCTAAACAAAAAAATATATATTTTGTTTTATGTAGCTTACACACTTACACAGGTTGCAGATAATTAAAAGTGAAACAGTGAAAAGATTAAAATATAAAGCTAAGCTAATTATAAGAAATTACCAATTTGAAGAACAATGCAAGTTGCACCAGAAATTGCAAATAATATGGAAGTAATAATAATATAATCATTATCATAGGAATACATTTGCATAAAACACTGGGATTCTTCGAATAACCACAATATGTCAGGCGGTCTTCTTGGACATATTAAATAAATAGCATACATAATGATGGGATTAATCACTATTCAGATAAATAGTTAGATTGATAGAAGTAAAATCAATAGATTCCTATCAGTGACTAGACATAATATTGGTCTTGGTCATTATACGTGTATAGCATCTCTACACTAGTACAATGAATGATATTGTGAAAATAAATTTCAAATTACTATATAATTATTATATATGTATATTGGCTGAACTTAATATACCATTGGAGTTGGTTGTCATCACAATTGGTTAATTTTACATAACGGCACACACATTTCATATAGTTATTCATAATATTATAAGTCATCAATTATGAGCTGTATAATAATTATAATAATTGAAAAATTGCTAATCTAAATCATTTTATAGTATAATCTAAGTGTATAAAAATGAATATCTGTCTGTATGTCCTTTATGGCTGCCTAATCGGCTGGACCAATTTTTGCGTGTGTTTGCAGTACCCTGGACTATTTAGATTCACAATTGGACCTGGTAGGTCCAGCCTCGGGAGGTGCTCAAACAGGGATTTTGATTTATAAATGTTTATGCTCTTGGTTATAACTTATAAGAGAAATATAAATTTATTTTGTAGAAATTAGTATTTTTTTTGTTTATTGATTGCCATTAGTCAATCGGGGAGATAGACCATGCCTGGCGAGGTTCTACCTGTTAATATACTGCTCGCATTATCACAAGTGAGTCTCATTTAGTTTTTATTTTTAACAGTCAACAAAGTGCACGGGATTAGTTAGTAAACTATAAAATAGATACTTCAAATCTTACTATTAGTTTTATTCATAATAAATAATCATATAGGTATACATCTATTAACTATATAATATAATATAATATGAGGTCTGGTGAGGCGCGGTGGTTTGCGCTCAAGCATCGTCCAGTGCTGCTGGTTTCCGGATGGATGACCACCCAGATTTTTGAGGACAAATCTTTGCCCCACGTAAAAACATACATTCTAACCGTACCCCCCTCAATGACCCATGTCAGGGTTCTAAAAAAAATTTAGGTATATATAATACATAAGTACTTGGAGTAACCAGCAAGGCATCAACTTATTGAATATAATAATGAATATTTATTTACAGGATAATTATTCACTAACCATGTTTACCCAATGTTTTCCTTCAATAATACAGTTTTTCAAAGGTTTGAGATTTTTTTGTACTTTTTCAGAAGTGCCCTGTGGAGATACAAACTTGTTTTTCAAATGAAAAACCTCCCTTTTCAACCATTAATTATTCAGTGGATAATTTTTCTGAAAAATGTTATGTCAGAATCAAAATTTGTACGACCAAGTAGTTAAGAGTTATTTAAATTTGTGTTTCCACCAAAACAAATTTCCGGATATGCCACCGATCCTCAGTACAAACATTTTAATAGCTGGGGAGCATGTTTAGTGATTCCCTTGGTATATGTTATGCTGAATTCACGAATCATTGTAATTAAAAGTGAAATTGGCATTTGGCTAACAACTTCATAGAACTTGCAAAATATGTTTGTCTGAAGGTTAGAATGAAGGCAGACTTTTTTCTATCAAATTCATGAATTTTGCATATTAATAAGCGTCAATAAAATAAGTAAAATAATTAAATGATAGAATACATTTAAAGACACATTTAAATATGCGATGTCCACTATCGCGGCATAGATCCGTGATTAACATAATAGCTGTAGTATTAAGATTATCATTAAAAACAAAAAATATTTGTACTCCACAGAATGCTTATATATTAATGAATACTATAACTTAAATGTTCACCAATTTTTCTCTATTTATTTCTTAGTTTAAATTCATTACTAATACATTATAACTCATAATTTGTATTTACTGTGATTTTTGTTGGAGTAGGCGACATATAATATTGCTTATTTGGCATAATTAACGTCATTATTATCTGTTGAATATTTTCAATCAAAAGTTTGTAGTTATTCTAATGATTTTAAAAATTGTGATAAAAAAAAAAAACAAAAATAGTAGATATCACACATCAAGTTCTTACTAGTATATACACTGAGCTCTACATAAACATATACATAATATAACTATATAAGTACTTAAATGAATACACCTAATTAATAGAAGTCAGTGATTCCAAAAAATTACAACCTTATTAAATTCATGATTTAGGTTTCAACTCAAATACCAAAATAAAATAGGAGATTATGCCGAGTTTCTTAAGAAAAAGGGGAATGTATTGATGCACTTTGTGCAGTGCAGTATATAAACTTTTATCGATTTTTAGATTTTTTCACATTAATAAAATCAAATCAAATAAATATTTAAGTTATAAAATTAATATATTTTTAATTTAAATTATGATTATAAAAAAGGTGTAAAAGTATAATAAATCAATTTAACAGCACACTATTCTATATAAAATGTTTTATTTTAATTATGAATTTGATTAAAAGTATATTCACAATTAATAATAAGGAAGTATGTATATACAAGAAGCTGGATTAATGTGAATGTAGTTTACTATTTTCTTTTTTTCAAAAAACACTGCTTGGTAAACTATATTAAATAATTATTGGATCAAATATAAAGATTGGGTACTATAATTATTAACAGCAAATTATTTTGTTTTATATTTGCTTGGAAAAAAGAATGGTATAAACAAAAATAAGTATGTTGACAGTAAATTCGTGTTAAATAGTAACTATGTAATAACGTAATAGCAAATTAACTGATCATTTATAAATTTAAAAATATTTTTCTTATCATTTTTACCATAAAATATTTTGATGTCACTTTAAAGATTTTTTTTATGAAGCCCAATTAGCTAATTCTTTCATTTCATCATCATCTTCCTCAGCTTTAGTTTTTGCTAAAAATGTAAAACAACTCATTAATATATATGTATATAGGTAAGTATATTGTATATAACTTTTTTCACTAAAAATACCTTTGCCTCGGCCACTGGGCTCAAATGTTGGAACTGAAGGCGTTGGCAAATCGTGGACAGGTGTCTTGCCTGTATTCAACAACTCTTTGTCCAATTCTTCTTGTTCTAGCTCTTCCAATTCTTTTTGTAATTCATCCTGTTAAAAAATTATAAGACTATTGATAATTTGTTCACTTAACTATTGAATAAATACTGACCACAATTAGCCATTTTAGGGATTAAATAATCAATGTCATCTGTTTCATATATTTACAAAATTTTACTTGTACCATAATAGCAGTTATAAATCTAGAGAGTAGATTTTTAGGTTCTTAAAATTTTTAAATATGATTCCTCTGTAAAAACCTTAAAATATTCTCTTAATATTCAATTCAAATCGGGTGAAATCAAAATAGATTGGTCGAACAGTGCATACCACAGTCTAAAAGGAACCTTGAGTAAACAAGATTACCAATCCATTTACATATCATAAAAAGAATTAAACAATAAATCTAGGTGTATCAAGCAGTCATTGAATGATTTATATCATTCTTTTTTCTGTGGTAAAAAATCACTAATCAAGAAATGAACAATAATGATAAAATAATACAATATATTCTAAAATATGAAAAATAGATTAGATATTCTCAAAACCAAAATATACTCTAATATACAATGTAGATTTTTTCTACAGATTCTGCTATCAATAAATTGTCCACATTTTTAAACCCTGTTCAGTAGCACATACCCAATAAATATATGTGAAAACCTAGAAAACCTCTTCCTAGTTACCTATTTATGAGTAAATAATTTAAAATTCAGTACAAATGTTGAATAAAAGGAATTTACATTAATAAATACCAAATGCTTATAAGTTATAATTTAGAACCAATGACAATATTTAAAATGAATTTATGATTTACTAGCAGACTTAGTTTCCTGTTTCCTAAGCTAACTAATTCTCATATTTTTTACCAATCTGCTCGGATGTTTACTCAAAAAAGATTTTTCATGTTTCAATATTTTTAACTGTCATTATTTATTCTTTCGTTTTCAGGGTAATTACAAATCACTAATTATTATTTATATAACTTTTTTGTATAAACCTAACAGAGTCCTAATACTATCGATAGAAGGAAAAAATAAAATCTATATCACAGATTTAAAATTAACAAAAATTTATCAAATAATAATTAATATTAAGAATTTATAACTTTAAATTTGATTCAATATTGACATTACATTTGTAAAAATAAATTATTATTCTTACCTCGTCTACATCAGTTCCAAATGCAACTGGATTTGAAATAGCTTCTGATATTTCTTTTGACAAATCTTGTGACTCTGCTATATCATCCATCATATTGTGAACATCATCTACATTCCTGTAACAAGATCAGTAATTTTAATTAACAATTTTCAAACCGCATTGAAGCTATATTAGAAAACTTTTCCTACATATTTCACCATTTCTTAATGCTAAATATTTTTTGTAAGAGCCTGAAATAAATTGGTAATATTCCATTAATTACAATATAATATTTATAACATTTTATTGCATATAATAATGTGTATTAATTATTAGTTATAGCAAACAATAAATTATTCTTATTTGTAAAGTAAATTTCTGTATTTGTTTTTATTTTAAGTTTACTGACACGCAATCTTAAAATCAGTATCAATATAATATATCTTATTTATATCTTATGATTATTCAAATAATTAAATAAGTATTACATTTTTTTGTTAAAATTAATATTAAAATCTCTTTTTTGTAATTTAAAATTTTAGTCTATACGTGCATTTTTTAAATTGCCTATTTGGGAGTTTTTAAGGAGATATATCAAATCCCAATTAATTAGTTTAATAACAAAAAATACCTAACCTAACCTAACTTACAATATATTGTATCATTAATATGAGGACTGATTTGTAAGTATAAAGTTATAATAATTTTTAGATACTTTATGCATAAAAAATAGTATAGGCATTGTACAATTAAATATATTAAATACATAATGGATGGAAAATAATAAGGTAACTAAAAATAAAATAGGTAAATATCTACTCAACAAAGAAAATAATAAAGTAAAATTTAATAAAATGTAGGTACCTATAATTATTTTAATTTTTGTCTTTTTTAGTTACATATGGATGCCTATATTTGAAAAATATGATTTTGGAATTTTAGACAGAATAATTATAGTGACATGAAGTTCAAAAAAAAACTTATATATCCTAAATAATTACTGGAAGATTAAATTACTAGTTACCAACTAGGCGGTTACTAGTGAAGTAGTGACTAAGCAAATTGTTGAAAGTGAAAATATTATGACTCATAATTGTTATCAAGATATTAAATTAAATATAATTCAGTAATAGAAGAATAGAATAATAAAACTGAATGTCAACATTTGATACATTGTTATAGTTTATGTTTGAGTGTTTTGATTAAATTCATATAAAAATAATATGGAAATTAGAGTTTAGTTTCATTAAGTTAATTTCATTTTCACAATAATTTATTTACTTAAAGTTATATACATAAACTGATAAACATGTAACGTTTTGTATTATGTTTAAGAACCTATAACATTTTATAATACATTCAGTGACGTGGTGACAAAATTTCAAACCCTATCACAAAAAGTAAAAATTAGCATATACTTATGTGTAATATCACATAACTAATGCATTTCTAAGCTGGTGAAAATTGTATCAAGTAAACACTGGTTACTACGCCACTGAACACCTTACTGAACACATTTGGTATAATATCAAAATAATGTATAAAAGCATATAATGTTTACAACATACAATATTGGAAAACTAAATTTCTATAATTAGCAAGTGAAGACGACGATTAAATTAATAAACTTCACTGTTAATGATTTGTATCTAAAATAAGTTAATATGAACCTTAACATGTTCAATGTCAACATTAATTTTATATGAGCCAGCCAGTGACCGACATGAATTGAACTATGGGCACCTGTCGCCACTTGTTAAATTGGTAGATTTACTTAAGTCAATATGGTCACGAATGGCTGAAAGAAATTTCAAACGTTTTCTGCTATAGCCATCTAATAAAGACTTAATACAAAACTGGTTACTGCACGTCAATATTACGTTGACACTGGTCATGGGCATCTATTTACTAGTGTCAATTACGTGTTGATATTGGCATCAACGTGTTAAGAAACAACGTTATGGGATTCTTTGAATAATGATAGAACTTATATAAATATATACACTATAATACTATATACATTTATACATAATAAATATCATCTAAATAGGTACTTTATATGACCATGATAATTTCAGTTTTAAATCCAATTTACTGAACAATTAAATATTAGGTTTAACCTTATGAATATACATCAATAACAATAAAACTTACATGTTTTGATGAGCTGATTTAAGTGCATCTGCTGCAGTTTTCATGGTAGTCAATACTGCTGTATTTGTGTTGGCACCTTCTAATGCCTCCCGCTGTTGTTCAATAGTTAACATGGTACCATCAATTTGGGCTAATTGTTGTTCGTACCGTTTCTTACGCTTCAATGCTTGCAATGCAGCTGAAAACCAATTACAAACATTTGCAATACAACTAAAATACGGTGTGTTAAAACGTAAAAAACATCGACTTACCTCGTTTATTAGTTGTACCATTTTTTTTGGCTATCGCTACTTCTTGTTCAATTTTTTTTTCTAAAAATTCTTGTTTCTTTATCAGCATCTCTTCAGTGGATCGAAGCTTTTGTATCGCATCTTCGGTTGATGGTCCCTTCTCTTCCTTTTTGCCACCGAAAAGCTTACCGAAGAAACTCATAATGTACACAATATAATATTATTTGTATTTATGTTATTAACTTATTTATACAATGAACATAATAATTCAAAGATATCGTATACAAATCACAACAAGTAAATAGTAATAATCAACAGTCACAAAAACACCAACGAATAACAATAAGTCGCACTAAATTTGCGTAGAAGGCAAAAGCGAAGAACTAAAGAAATTTCGAAAGATAATGATAAAAGATTTTTATTGTTGTCATTTAGTATTTAGTGGTCATCTGTTATTCTGTTAAAATCATCCACAAAATGATTGACGACGAAAACACCGTAATTGATAACCTATAACCAAAGACGCTGTAACAACATTTCAAAGAGTACAAAAAAATGCCAAAGTAATATTAATAATAATAATAATACTACCCATTATTATTCAGTACTTTGATAGTTTGATATAACACAACTATATAGCAATATAGCAGACTGCAATACTGCATATTATACGAGTACATTCCCATATGAAATTAGGAACGCTGAAGTCGTACGGCCATGTGTCAACAGGGCAATGTTTACAAAATATCTCAATAGATAATATTATACCTAAACATATTTATAATTTATATATTACGAATATATGTATATTATCATTTATCAACCATGCAATTTTGCCCTGTAGGCATCACATATTCACATGGCTGTCCGACTTCAACATTATCCTGTAGTCGGCTATCTAGTTATTTCATATGTCTACCTGCGGACAACTTACGCTTCAGCTGCTTAGCGTTTTATAGTCTAGGACAGTGGTTTTCAACCTTTTTTGGTTCACGGCACACTCACGCACTTGACAACCACAACAACTTTGGAAACTTCGCCGAAGGCAATAAATATTGCCACATGTCTAGTCGATCTCGCGGCACAGTAGTGTGCCACGGCACACTGGTTGAGAACCACTGGTCTAGGACTTGGTATTTATCTTAGATCAAAATATACAATGTATACTATGATCTCAGACTTTTATTTAGTCATGATTACGATATTAATATATTATCCATAAACCACGGCTTTAGATAGTAAATACTAAGTTTTACTATCTAAAGCCGTGCTATAATAAACCTGGGATTAAACTCTTGTTCCATCAAATGCTTAAATGGTTAAACAATTGAACAATATGTTTTCTATTTCCGCAAAGTACAAATGAAACTACCAACAAAATCGTCCAAATCCGTACCTACATTACAGTTGAACCGATTTTTGTCAGTCAGCGGCGTGTTCTCTCGCTGTACAGAGTGTAATAAAGAAATCAGAAATGGACTTATAATTTCAGCTTGTATGGTCCGAACAGAATAAAAAAAATCACGCCATTGTGTTTCCCTCTCGACGCTTGAACGAAAAAATGAAAATATATAGTCGTATTTGGTACGTGGAGCGCCAATAGCGAAGAGCGAAGGTGACAAATTCCCTACAGTTCATTACACTCCCGCCTAAAAGTACAATAGTTCGGTAGGATAAAATGAAAAACATAGGTACTGGTGTATAACATAAAATTATGGGATGTAATCGTTTGACATGTGTCAGGAACCACATTTAGTGTCATACACAGGATTTTTCGATGAGGGAAGGGGCTTGAATATTAATTAGGTACAATTTGATTTTTATTTTGTTCAGTCTAATAATTTCAGACGTTTAGGCGAGGTATTTAAAAATGTCTGTACAATTTTCAACTTCTCAACTTTTCTAGTAGAAAAAATACTGTGATCATAAACTTCGATGGAAGTTTTTGGAAGAAAATTAGATATAATTGGTACTTACTTTTGGGAGGTCGAAATTGAAAATCCACAGTACTTTTTCAATAATCGGGGGTATTTATTAAATTTGTTTGGTACCTAACATTGATATTAGACCGTTTTCGCTTGGATAGTATTTGATAAATTTTAGTTTTTTTCCTAGAATGTCAATAAAAAATTATTTTTATTTTTTAATTATTTTTTTTAAAAAAAATTTCAAAAATGTAGATAATATTTTTCATAGTTTTTATAAAAGTTTTTTAAAAATAGGCATATAGGCATGATTATTATTTTTAAATATTTAAACTTCGTATTTTTACAAAATCACAATTAATTGTAGTTACAGACATTTATAAAATATTAAATTTGTATAGCTAAAGTTTGAAAATTTAACACAAATAGTTCATACTTTTACCAAAAACAACGAATCGTTTTGAGAAAATTGATATGCAAATACAATGTTTTTGAAATGAATTCAACCTACCCAGGTATAAATGATTAGTTATTGGCTATAGCTAATCCGGTAAGACGTGTGTGAATTTACGTCCTCGCTTACTTATGTACAACAGTTTAAACTTTATAAATATTTTTCAAAAGAGTAATAATAATACGGCAAATGGATTCAAGGCCTCGCCACTTCCCTGCCGATAGGTATAACATAGGTGTATTTCTATAGTTTTTACGAATTTTAGAAACTGTTTCTTACCGTTCGAGATTAAACTTAAGCAACGTAAAAAACATGAATCTTTTAATCAAAAATATTTATATACTTAATCCCACGAGGGGCGTCGTTTCCTGCGGGGTGTTTCTGCATATCCTCAAGTGACACCCTGTCATTGAGATCGGTTCCAGACGTTCAAGTGTTCTATTGTGACAGGGTGTCACTCGAGGATGTGCAAAAGAATACATTTTCGGCGGGCCAGTTTTTCTTGTTTGAGTGTTGAACAGTCATATTATAGGAAAAAAATGACAGTTAGCATATAGAGGTCTGGTGGACCAAAATTGTTAGAAAAAGATATCATACAACTTATAGCATATTACTTGGTCCATCTATAAAACAACTCATTAATAGCGATAGATAGTAAGAGTTTTAATAACATTTTAAGAAAAATATAGCATACACTTAATTATATTTTTCTTTTACCCATTTATATTATGATCTATCTCTGATTCAACTTTTCTATACTATTTGATCTCTATTCTCTACCTCTGTGCCCCCCCGTTCAGAATATCAGTTGGTTTTGTTTTGTATTTTACCGGTTGGCTATTAGATACGTGACTGAGCAAGGTCTTGTGTCGATATTTAGCTATTATATTTCATACCATCGTCCATATTACTGATTGGTATACGGCTCGTTTCATATTCTTAGATTTGACTAGCCTTGCTATATATTACATATCTAATTTATCTAATAGATTACATATTAAATTGTATACATATCTAATAACTGATAAGTAAAAGACTGATATCTGATAACTGTTTCTGTTAACTTTTGGTGAAGCACTTGGTATCAGATCACATAGCTGGGCGTGGAGTAAATTTTTCATTTCAAATAAAAATATTTTTAAATTTTTAATACAATTTTATTAATTCTTTGATTTAAACCAATTAGGTTTAACATTAATTTGTTTTAAATTTGTATTAAATCTACAAAAAAAATATATTTTTACATTTTTGAGATTGTACGATAATTACCAAAAGATAGCATTATACTCATCACTCAATATAGTGTATGGAAACTTCACTAAAATAATTTATAGCATATTTTTTTTTTTTTTTCATTTATTTAATTTTAAAATGTTTCAACACACTGGGTGCTATTACAAGTATTGTTATAGCATATTAAAAATACACAAAGGTGAATTACCACCCTAATGTCACTAAAGTTTAATCATTTAAAAAACAGTTTCATTAAAATATCTAAAACAATATTAGTGACTGGCTTAGTGAGTGGCTTCACCAAATCAATTTTCTTATATGTAGGTATAACCATTTTCTATAAACATAACTTACGCTTATCGTAGCTATTTTATACAGGTTGAGTAAATTATTCATCAAATAATAAATAAATATAATTATTTAAAAAATATATACGCATAAAAAATCGTGCAGACAACCTATAAAACCGTGTTCTAATAACGATCTTAGTAAGTATTATGGTGTGATTTTAGTCCAGGTTTTGATAGAATTTATATTTTTGTGGTACGTATTGTTACAGGTTCTGTACTGTTTGTTTGTTCAGAATTCATACTAAACCATACTACCGTGGTCTATGGATCGAAAAGACGGAGACTCTATTGTGTACACTCTACACTCTACAGAATATGCTGGAGGGTTGGTTATATTTATGGACTGGCGCCTGGCGGTGCCATTCACGATTGTAGATAACATCTACGATCACGTTTCTATCTACTAACTATAATCGTGGAGTCACCTGTGAACCATCGGATCACGGTACATCTACATTACATTATACACCACTAAGCTGATTAGTGATTAGCAATGAATGACTTACAGATGAGTGAGTGATGTTGTCTTGACTCTAGAGGGTAAAAGAGAAAAAATTGTCTCTCAGAAAATTGTGCCCCACACTATTTAACAACATAATAGGCAATTTAAACTATATACGTCGAATATAAGTATTTTTTTTTTTTAACTACGAATAATTAATGAATATTCTGTAAATTCAATAATTTAATGCTTCTTCCTTAGTTTACCATATTTTTTAGCATAGTACAATTAAATATTACTTATTTTAACGATAAGCCTTAAATAACGCATGATACCACACTAATATCAGATAAAGTAGTATTTTGCCTATATGTAAAGGGTATTATAATTTGTAATAATTTAATTAATATTTTATTATATTTATAAATTTATAATATTTCATGACAATTGTGTAAACATTGATAATATGTAATAATCCAAATCGAATATATCTGTTAATTTTATAATAGTTTAATAAAGAATGCTTAGAATCTTATTAAAAATAAATACCAGTATACCTAACATTAGAAAACGTTTAAAATCCATGTTATTATACGTAAGAATTTAAATTACAAAATAATAATAATGGTTAAAAAATATTATTTATTATACTCATATAAAGTTAAAATTAAAAATATTGAATTAGGGTATCAGATTATCGGAATCTAATATTGCACAATTTAGAAATTAATGTTGATTTAAATAATAATACAATCTATAATTTTTATCATTAAATTGCATTGTGTTACGCAACAAAATCTGGACAATTTTACAAATCATAGGTTTCCAAAATAAATTAATGATTTATACAATTAAAAAATGTTCTATCCAAATATAATATTTTGTCATATTGTGATAATTTATTAATTATTACTATTTTTACTATTATTTTAAAAAGTTTCCCATCAATCTAATATCATATTAATAAATTAACTTGATCCAGATTGAATTTAAAATGTATAATATCAATGAAATGTCTACCTAAC